TATATATATATATATATGTATATATATATATATATATGTATATAGGCTGTGAGGAGATGGGGAGAGAGGGTGCGTAGCCTTTTTTTTAAGGATAATATATATTTTAAATATTATATTATATTATCACAATATAATAATAATATTATTATTATTGTCATTTCCTCATATTTCGTCCAAACACAACGTCATAGTGAAATGAATGTCCCCCCTAGGAAAAATCGACGTTCCAGACGCACTGATGTGGTCCGTTTCGTCGTTCGGGGTCGTTTGGACCGCTTTTTCAACAATCGAGTCCAAAATGATAATTTGCGCATTTTTAGCCCCCCGCGAAGCCGAAGCAAAATGGATGTCCTCCTTAAGTAATATCGACGTCCCTGACACATGACATAAAAAAAAATGATGCCAACAATAGTATGTTCCTTGCACCAAAAAATATATATCTATTTATTATCAAAAGATAGACATTTTATTATGAAATGTCATATGACTCATAAGGAATGACCCGAGGCTATTATGCGAGTCTCCAATCACCCCTAATGTGTCTGATCTGTTGGTTGTTATCCATCGTATAAGTTTCTTCAGGTCAGGGGTTTGAATCCACTCTATCACAGTTGACCTTAAAAATGTGATACTTGAATTGTTTGGTGGTTGGCCCATAAGTTAACATAAAAGGTTATATATTTAAAATCATAGATTCAATTCAAGCTATATGTTTTGTTCTAAAAAAATGAATATATTCTCAAATAACTATGATTTTCATTACCAACTTATTACAATAGACATGTACATACAAACATTCAACACAAATAGAAATACAATAATATAAGAAAATCATTTTTTTTTTTATTTTCACAAAAACAATGACTTCTATAATGGAAACATATCCTCCAACCTCATCCCCATCCCTAAACTCTACTTGCCCTGCTCACTCCCAATCACACCCTCCAAACCCACCTTCTTCATCTCCTCCTCCTATGATTCTCACTCCCAACCAGCCCAACAGTACTACTGCTCACACCCGCCGCCATATCCCTACCCGGTTGCTTCACCACCATCACCGCCGCCTTCCCTCCAATATCCGCGGAAGCCAACACATCCCCCACCACCCCCAACTCCGGAAACTCACTCCACATCTCAAGCCCATACGTCGCAGGTGCCACCCTCCCTTCCCCTCTCCCCACCACTATCAACCCACACTCCTCCCTCAACCGCCGTATTACCTCCACCGTCTCCGCTCCTTCCCTCACCTCCTCCTCCCTATACACCACCTTCTCATTCCTCTCATTATAAACCAGAAATTGCTCCATCGCCTCATCGTCCATCAACTCTTCCTCCTCCTTCGCTTGCATCTCAGACTCCTTCGCAGCTATAAATCTGATAACCGTTAGTTCAATCGACGGATTCTCCACCATGCGGTTCACGAGCGCCAGCGCCTCCCTGTCATCACCTCCGCCAATGAAAAACAGAGCCACGCGATGGGCCATCGTTTCTGCAAACCCGCGGTCGACGACAATTGCGGCGGTGCACGGCGCGTAGAGAAGAACGCTGGTGTTCACCGCTCGAACCTCCGGTTTAACTGAATCAGGCATTAGGAGAGCTTCGGTTGAGTCCTTCACTCGCCGGTGGAAGGGGAGGAGGATTAAATCAACCATTTTGTCCTGCGCGAGTGTGCATATATCATCGTGCATGGTGGCGTATGGAGAGACGCCGATGAAGGGGAGGATGCTAAGGCTACCTGTTATAGTCTGCTGTCTCTCTATTTCAAGGAAGGAGTTCACGATCCGGTCTGCAGTAGATCCAGTGGAGAGCGATTTGAAGGAAGCTCGGCCGCGCTGTTTCTTCTTCCTGTAAGGGGATAGAATGGTGCTGCTCTGTCCTGCGAGAGGGGAGAGGTGGAGGAGATAGACGCAGAGGGGGGAGATGGCGGAGGGGTGGATGGTGTTGATGAGTTTGAGGAGAGGGGGGACGTTGTCATCCCCATGAACACAGATTAGAACTCGAAGCTCGCCGAATTGGCCGATGCTCTGTATTGTTCTGTGTTTCTTTGCAGCGAGTCTGGTCAGTGATTTGCCGTATAGAGATTTGAGCAAAGCGCCGACAGTTCCTCCGATTATGATGAGGGCGAGCATATTGGCTGAGTAAACCTCTGAGTCGGCTAGGCTGATGTCTTCCCAGCTGTTGAAATGGAAGATTTCAACGACACCATGGCAGTTGAGCATGAGGGATAGAATGAAAGATTCGCGGAATGACATTTTTGTGTAGAGGCAGGGGATTATGACGCCGGCGAACTTGCCGACAACGCCGAAGAAGATGAGGTAGGAGGTGCGTTTCAATTCGGCGGAGTTGGTGGAGAATTCGTAGAGATTGGTGCGGAGACCGGCGGGGGGGGAGAAGACGGGGAGGAAGATTTCGGAGACGATGGACATGAGGCGGGCGGGGCGAGCGGGGCTGGCGAG